CATTTGGTCACGCATACTTGGTAAGCGGGGCGTATAGGTGACGCCTTGGGCCTAGACCCGCCTAGGCGGTGCCTTTTTGGGCCTTTTAGAACACTGCTATGGAGACGCTAATATTAACGAAATAACTACAGAAAGTGGGGGATAGAGAGAGAGACTTACGAGGGAGAGAAGGCTTTAGAACAAGTGAAGAAGATATTTTAACAGCATAATTGTTCTTCTTTCTTGCTCTTGTTTAGCAACAAAATATGCAACCTTTTGGAGTTTCAGAGCACGACGGGAACTCGGGAAGTAGCAGCTGAGTTTTTCTACTGTTCAGCTGAATTTTTGTTGCGCTTGGAAATGTTCTCTATGAGCCTGAACGAATACCCAAAATCAATATATATATTATATTATATATATAAAAGAGGAACTTTTTAAGAGCATACAAAGCGCAACATAATCTTGCCATGTCATTATATATATTAATTATTTAGTTAATTTTATACCTTCTATTTTTATTAGCTAGATTCTATTTTTGATTGCATATTGATATGGAAACAAAAATCCGTAGAAATCTACCTTAATTAATTTGGTAACTTTTTCAAAACTTATTACGTATTTGATAAGTATTAAATCATTTAATTGGCACTACAACAATTAATAACCAAATTTTAAGCACAGACTCACGGAGCAACAATCACTTAATTATTTTTATAATTGTTTATTTTTTATTACATTCTATTAAAGAGATGAAGTATTCATTTTTGCCCACTTAACAGATAAATCAGCCAAATTGCTATTAATTTTGTCTTCGAAGTAATTTGATAAAAATAAAAAATGTAATAATAGTGTCCCATTTCCTAAAATGTAATATTTTCTTTTTCTAAACTCAATGTTGAGATAATGATTAAAATTCTTTTTTTGAAAGAGATAATGATTAAAATTCTAAGCCCTGGATTTGCAATTGTGTTAACACTTCGCATTTTGCTCCATCTTCATACAATTCTTTCTTAATTATTAAAATAATGATAAAAATTATAACCACCATATTATTGAAATTAAAAAATGAAATTAAAACTATTAGATATTCTAATATAGAATCTTAAAAACAATACTTATTTTAAATCACATTATATTAAACAGGCTCTATATTATTTGAAATTAAAAAAAGAAATTAAAACTATTAGATATTCTAATATAGAATCTTAAAAAGAATACTTCTTTTAAATCACATTATATTAAACAGGCTCTATATTAGAGAAAGTTTATTTTTCTTTTAAATCACATTACATATGATCCGAAAGAAATCAAATTCAAATTAGCTAAATTACATACTGCCCGTGCATTGCACGGGCTTGAAAGCTAAGTAATTAAGATTATAAATGTATAAAGTTATTAAGATTCACATAATTATAAGTAGTACGTACGTAGTATTAGTTAAAATAATGAATCAATGTTTACCATCTTCCCTAGAACGGTCAAAGATGAAAAAGAGACGGAGACAATAACCTTTATTAGAACATTTTATTATAATTATTATTTTATGTAAGTACTCCCAAAAATAGTATCTCGCTCATAGGTCTAAAAGTGGATAGGACCGGCTCTATATATATGTGTGTTATATTAAGAAATACTAGTACTTCGTATTATATGAAGAATATTTTATATACTTCTTTCGGTCCTAAATAAATTTCACACATTCACTTTACAGTTTTTCAGAAAGTGGAATTTTCATTTTTGACTTTAACATAATAGCCCTGCAAAAAAGTAGATAAGATATTGTGGGAGAGAGAAAGTGGATGTAAAGTATGTAATAAAGTAAGGGTATAAGTGTAACTTTATATTAAAAACTTGTCAAAAGTAGAACTGTAAAGTTTATTTTGGATCTATCAAAAAAGAAAAGTGTGAAATTTATTTAGGACCGGGGGAGTATACAGTATGTATTATCCTAATTTTTGTTATTTTCTTGGTGAATTGCATTTTGATTCTATTTCCGATTATATGGACTCATCTCACATAAAAACTTTAATTAATAATCAGTTTAATAACTTGATAGGTGTGAAAACACCTAATACTTTGTCATAAAATGTGGTCTTTGTTTGTTAACTTTTGAAGATTATTCTCCCATATTGGTTTTACTTGTGCAATATTTTGATTGTAGGAACCATATGAAGGATTTGAGCGTTGTAGGGGTGAAAATCGAGCATTTTGAAGAGTTTTGAGCGCATAAATGAATGATTTGAAGACCCCGGGAACCAAGCGGAGCACAAGGAAGCAAGAAACGAAGATGTTGGAGGTGTTTCAGGGAAGACAACCTTAGGAACACCATATGGAACGACGTCACCCCCAGCGTTCCCCCATTTTGTTCCTCCGAATTTCGAATTTTATGTCCCAGGTGTGGGAACGTTGGCAGGGAACCACGTACCTGTCAGCGTTCCCTCAAGAACGACGTCCTTTCTCCATTCCTCCCAGTGTCGTACTCTCTGCCAGCCGCATGTTTTAATTTGTAAAGGTAGGAACGCTTAGGAGGAACACCGTTCCCGCCAGTGTTCCCTCCAGCGTTCCTCATAAAGGGAAGGCGTTCCTACCCAGCGTTCCCCCGTTTTCCCGAATGAATAAATAGCATCGTTTGTTCGAATTTTCATAGCTTTTGGACGAGTTTTTTTGTTACAAACCCTACTTTTTGTTGTAAGCTTCCTTAAACTCATTTGCACTTCATTTCTTAATATTATTTGCATCAAACCTTGAATCTAGTTTGATTTAATCCATTAGATTGCATCATTGTCATATTTCTACAATCTTATCTATTTTTCTCACTTCATGTTTATGTCTAATATTTCTTTTATGAATATGAAATCTAGCATGAGTGAGTAGTTGGATTAAGGATTGGGGGTGTTTGAGGCCTAGTTAGCTTTTTTCCGTTTTAAACGTGTTTTAAACACATACCGTTTTTTTGAGTAAAACAACGTTTAAAATAAAAAATAATGTCGGCCCGTTTAAAAAGGAAAAAAACTCTTACTTCCCGTATAAAACGTATTTTTCCCGTATTTTACAAAAAAAAACATGAATTGATCGATTGAACGAATGCATTAAATGCATTGGAGATCAACAATAGTGTAAAAGTAGAAATGAAAATGTCCTCCTCGTGATCTCGTATTTTTGTATTGTTACAATACAATTATTAATTACTAAAATTAATTGCATGATAGTTAAAGCTAGCACCCTAAAGAACTAAAACTTAAAATAGTACTCCATCCGTCCCTAATAGTTCTTTCATAGTACAAATGACACACAAATTAAGAAAGTGAGTATTGTGTGGTGGAAAATTGTGCATAGGATACAGAAATGTGTAAGAAATGTTGTAAACAACTAATTCTTTACCAAAAAAGGAAAATTGAAGTTCTTTTGGAACGAATGAAAAAGGAAAGTTGAAAGTTCTTTCAGCGATAAAGAGTAGTAGATTTATGATGTTTTATCAAACAAGCATATCAAAATTAAGTTTTTTCTAAACATGACATTTTTAGTTTAAACTCTTACACAAACAATAATAAGCGTAGCAATCGCACAACTTTTTTCATATGTCATCCGTCATCTTGATGAAATTTGTGAGTTTAACTTGAGTGTTATTTGATGATAATAGAAAGATAATGATTTTAACGTAGTCTCATTCCATTGTTTTCAAGCCTTATTTTGTCATCATTTAGTAAAATTATGTCTTGGACTTACTTACACCAGTTGTGGTTGATCCCCGCCTCCTTGTCCTGGAGGCTCTCTAGTAGAATTACGAATTATTTATTTATGTAGTAATGGAATTTTCTACTTGATATGTGTATACTTTTATTTCTTTTTACTAAATATGTTATTTTGTATAAAGTATATAATTTAAATGTTCAAAATAATGTCCCGTTTTTTTGTCTTAATTTTTGTAACGGATAAGGTATTATACACGTATTCGTATTTACACGTTTTATAAAAGTCAACGTTTTTTTCAACGAATTTTTGACCGTTTTTTTCATTTATGTTACCGAATAAAACGTGAACGTATTAAACCCCGTTTAATTCCCGTACCGTATTTAACTAACTAGGGTTTGAGGAACATCCAACCATGTGATGTGTTAGGTTTTGGGGTTTGATTTGGGGGAATTTGAGAGATAATATTATGCACACAATGTGTTTGTGAAAATGCTTCTTTGTATTTCTAAGACTTTGATGACCACAATGTTCTTAGATGGTGTTTTGGACCCTCAAGAAGACTTGTAGGGTTTCCTTTTGACACATTCACAACACACACACACTACCTCCTCTCCATGAGAATGGGAGAAAGTAAGGGAAGAAATTGTTGGTTTCTTTTCTTTGTATGACTTTGGATTGCTATTGGACCATGAGAGTGGCAAGAGAACTTGTACCTATCCCTTTGTTGCATGATGTGTTTCTAAGTATCACCATTTTGACCCTTTACCCTTAATCATAGGTTGTTCCTTGTATGCCCCCGCTTCCCTTCTAGTTTAATCATTATTTATCTCCATTACAATTAGTTATTCTCTTAAATCAAACATATATCGACTTGACTAGCTTACATGTTAGATTTCTAGATTGATTTCACACTTGGTTTTTCATATACACTGTCCCATGAAACGATATCCGGGACTTCCATATCCCGACACCCGATGAGCATTATTGTGAAAATGACTCGTCATAACCTCTATTTTTAACTTATCAAACTTAACAATCAATTTTTTTTTATCAAATACGCGACTTTTGATTTCATGCGCTAAATTATGAAATAATCGAAATAAGTAATGTTGAAGCTACTTTTCTGGCTGAATTAGCTGAAGTTCCTGTAGATGACCATTTTCATAGAATTTCCATTAATTGAATTAAAAGAATATATGTAAATAATGTTTTTCCATAACTCAATGGATTCAGCAACTTCAACTAAAATTTCACCATTAACTAAAATTTCATCAATTTCCAATTCCAGTGCCACTACCTTAATAAATACAATTATTTGCATAATAACTATTGTAAATAATATTGAGGACAAAGTAATATAAAAAAGCAAACAACGTAGAGTATATCCAGTAATATAAAAAAGCAAACAACGTAGAGTATATCCATAGGACAATTTAAAGTACATTGACTACATTTCACAAGGGTTCCATTGGTAGGATTATTCAGTAATGGTGATGGTAATGATAACTGATTTTTTATTTTTCACGCAGTGTAATACCAGATTGACCATGTAACATCAGATCAATAATAGGTCCACTAAAAAAGGATGACACTCCATCCTTAATAGGTCTCCTTAAATGTACATATCCACAGTAATCCGCACGTACTCGGGCACCATTCATGAATATATGTGACAAAGCGACTACTCCTTCAGCTGATACATAGCAACATATGAATGAGAAATTTTCAAAAATACAACTAAAACAAAGTAACACATTAATGATAATAATGTATCACAGTTGTTGTTGTTGTTGTTGTTGTTGTCGTTGTCGTCGTCGTCGTCGTCGTCGTCGTCGTCGTCGTCGTCGTCGTCGTCGTCGTCGTCGTCGTCATCGTCATCATCATCATCATCATCATCATCATCATCATCATCATCATCATCATCATCATCATCATCATCATCATCATTATAATCATCATCATCATCATCATTATAATTATTATAATTATTATCATTATTATCATTTTTATTATTATTACGGTTATTATTACTGTTATTATACTATTATTATACAGTTGTTATTACTATTATTATTACTATTATTATTAGAGGAAATTGATTTAAATATCCAAATTTTTAAGGAGTGTGAGGTAAGCACCCCAAATTATCATATGTAATAAAAGTACCCCAAAGTTAATAAAAAAATATCTTAGCACCATGATAATATATTTTCCTTTGACAAATGTAAAGTTATAGTGTTAAAATATAAAATTTAAGATACTTTGAATTGGGCATTTATATACAAGGATGAAAATATTTATCTAATCTTTAATATTTAAAATTATTAATCTAAGCTTCAAGAATTACTTAATTGAAGTAGCATAAAAGCTATTTAAATCAATGATAAAAAGAACTATTATGCCAAATAATTTATACATAGTCAATACTATGTTCAACTACAACAAAGTTTATTTAAAATTTGCTCAAGAAATGAACAAAAGTTCACTTCGGAATTTTTATGAACATTTGGTGGGCATTAGTATTTAGAATAAAATTTTAATGAAACTATTAGATCATTACTAATTAAATAGAGTGATAAAGATATTTCATTCAGATTATTATTATTACAATTAATGTTTTCAGAATTCAAATTGAGTCAATTTTGGAAAAATTTGAATTAAAGGAAAGAAGAATGGAAGGAGAAGTCCAGGGAGTCTAGGGAGAAGTCCGTTCGCAGGAAGCATTGAGAGAGTAGCAAGGAGTTCAAGAGTTCTATAATAATTAGGCTGAAACTTATAAAGAATTACAAAAATAACAGGTGTACATGTACACCCGGGTGTACCTTGTAATTTGCGCTTGACCTTAAGATTTGGGATAATGAGATGCAAATTAAACCCCTTTTTAAAATCAGTATATAGAGAATAGATATTTACCATGTGTGACCAGCAACAAGTTCTCGCAAGGATATTTGTCAGCAAGTGTACGAACAACGTGATTATACCTATCACGTGCAGTATCTTTCGTCTCTCCCCACTTCGGTAGCTATTGCAATATTTTTTCCAAGAAAAAGCTTTAATTAGTACAAAGTATTATTTATTACTATAGATGATTTAGAAGTATCAATCAAAGATCTGAAATATTATAGATTTTGGTCTATTTAATTTTTAATTATTAATTCATTGCTAGTTTTAATAATTTTTCTTCATAAAAATTTACAAGTTTAATAAGACTAAATAACATCTAAAATTTGAAAACTAAAAAACATTAAAATATTATCTTCGAATTACATGTTAAAGAACATTTAATTTATACAATCAACGATTGCACATAAGGTGTCACTACTACATAAACACCTTAAGAAATCACCGCTAACGAGTCGCCTATGCATATAATGCGATGTATAAAGTTTATGAGTCGCTTTTTAACATAGTATGCGACTCATAAAACCTTTTGTAAAAATGAAACAATTTTATGTGTCCCCTTATATAAAATGTGGGATGCAAAAACTTTTCATAATGCTTTTATTTAATACGGAGGAGTACCAATTGTGTCCCATCGTCTCTAGTGGGGGACGTATAAAATAGCGTCCAAAAAATTTGGAGCCGAAACCAGCCCACAAATTACTCCGTATTTGAGCTGCAGCAGCGAAAATAGGGCCCAAAACAAAAAACAAAGGAAAATGGCTTTTCCAAATGAATCCTTCTCTCGACTAAATCGCAACAGAAGCCAAATCTCCTTTTCCGAATCGATCCTTCTCTAGCAAAATCAGATGTCGTGATTTCTTTCTGCAATTTCAACGAAGAAATTGCTCGGCGCGCATAATGATTCTGAAGTAGAATTATCGACGATCCTCGATTCTAGCATATTTCGAAACCCATATGGATGAGCCGCGGAAGAGTTCTCAGCCTCGGTGAGCGGTACCAATCCCGTTCGTCTCTGATGAATCAGCAGTTCTCGCACTCGTCTTGCCTCTCATCACCGGACTAGATCATCAGTGTGCAGTCTTAGCTTCTGGTTTCCTGTTTTTCTCATCAATTCATCCCCTCGGTTCCTCATATTTTAGATTTTAGATTTTCTATGGAATATACCTCAGTTAAGTTTAATTGATAGTCTCATTGGGACACTTTTGAACATGCCTGGTAAGACTAAGGATGGAAAAAAAGCTAGAGATGACATGGTTGATATGGGCATACGAGAAATAGAAATAAAATAACACTATGAACTTCACATGAATCGGGATATCAAGTCTTAAAATAAGCGCAATGTTTTGTTTATTAATACACTTTTAGACATCACTTTTTATTTACCTGCACATTGTAGACACAGACAAAGGATAAATTAAACCAACTGGAAGTGTAATTCAACCTGGAAATATGCAATCTGATTTTAAGATATATTCTAGCTAGAATTTTGGGAGTTTTCCATCGGCGACTATGGCAGCCTTATTAACATTGATTGTGTTTTCTGCCAAAGATGTGCCAAATTTGTGGAAAATCGTTTAAACATTTCATCCAGCACCACACGTGGTGCAGAGTATACTCTGATCTGGGCATATGACTCATATTGTAGCGTACTAACCTGGCAATTACTCTTACATCTTTAGCCAGAAGAGTCTTGGGAGTTTGAGAGTGTTGAAGTCTTGTGTATGTTTGTGTTCGCGTGGGTAAATTCTGATATGAGCACTCTGGAGGCATTTATTAATGTGAGAAATTTCTGTTATATGGATACTTAAATTCTTTTTAATGTTATTTCTGTTATTTTTGTAGGTTTTTAGTTGCTGAGCAATTTCAAGGTTGAAATGAAATTATTAATGTGTTATCTAATGAACTTCTGTACTTGAATCTGAAATTGAAATTGATTTGACTTCCACCTTAGTGTTTCTTACCGATTTCAATTTATCTCAAAGGTCCTGCGAGTGCAATGAAATTAGGTGAAAATAACTGACAAAATATAGGTGTTCCCTTGGAGCATATCATTGAGTATGCTGTCAAGTCAAAACATAACCTGGCCGTTGTTTCTTTTTCCTTGGCAAAGAGTCGTTTCATGTTTTTAGAAATCCTTATGCAGTAGTTATGTTTTTACTTGCTTGAAGTCTGGTACATTATCTACTTGCTTGAAGTCTGGTACATTATCTACTTGCTTGAAGTCTGGTACATTATCTACTTAAAAATGTCAATATTTTTAGTGTAAAAAATTTCGTGTAAATTTTTTTCCAATAATATTCTTTGTACCGGCGCAGTCTAGCCCAGTGTCCTGACTACGCCCCTACTGACTAGCTACAACCTGGCACAACACGTCAATTATGCACAACAATATATAATCTCAACTATCGATTATATTATCACGTGACTAGTATAGTTTAAGGTACATGTGCTCAATTATTTGTGTTAAAATTGTTCAAAAAACGTTGAGGACGTGAGATAGAAAAAGTAATGAATTGTATAGAAATTTCTAAAAAAACAGGAGAGAATGATTAGAAATGAAGGTACTTAGTACGAAAAAGGATATGATCGAAAAAGTAGAAAAAATTACAAGTAGTTGAATATACCAAAAAAGGAATATTTTAATGTATACCAAAAATTATTGTCCAAAAAAGTTGGACACAAATATTTATTGATTTAGGCATACGCGTATACAATGTTCTAAAAGGCGCTAGACGCTAGTCGGGCGCTATCCCAGTGCCTAGCGCCTAGGCGGGCGCCTAGTCGGAAACGTAGAATTTGCATTTTTATCTATATTTTTGCATAAATATGATAAGTAATATTGTATTTTTGTGTGTATAAGATACATATATACATTAATAAACATGAATGATAGAATTATCACATTTAATCATACGTAGTATATGATAACTAATCACTTAACTTCATTATGTTATAAATATAAATAATAATAAATTTTAGGTATATATACAAACTATATAGATTTTTCTTAATTTACAACTACATTTCTTTATATCCATGACTAAATTTAAAGTACGTATCTCACTTAGAAAATTAAAATTAAAAAGTGAAGTAATGTTCGGCGAATCTAGACGGCCTAGGCGGGCAACTAGGCGCCATAGGCGTCCAACTAATTCACCTAGATGTCAAACCAATTAGTCGGAGCGCCTAAACGAAAATCGGGGCGCCCGACCACCGCCTAGCGCCTAGGCGGGGACTAGTCGGGCGCCTAGAACGATTTTTAGAACAGAGCGCGTATATATCTATACCGACTATACTACGTTCCTTCTATTGACAGTAAAATGATATTGGTCTATCATCGCATCTTTGGAGTCTAGACAGTCTTATAAAATCACCTTCTCATAGATAGTATTGTCACACAGTGTTTTAGATGGCAAATGATCTTGGCATTCTGCGAGTACAAATTTAAAATCTCCATCTTGAGGAGGTACCCATATTGCTTTCTGGTTCATCATTTCTGCTAATCCATACTCAACAGATACCTGAAATTATATATGCAGATTAATTAACTCGAGTAACCAATCATGTTTCACAAAGTTTACAAAGTAGAACTTATTAGTAACAAACTAACAACTAACAAAGCAAATGATGGTTTATGCTTATTAAAATTACTAGTTTAAAAACGCGCCATGCGCGTTCGTGTGAATGCCCAAGATCATCTGAAACATACTCCGTATTATTTTATGATGTTAAGAAAAACAATATTATTATCAAATGAATTTAGGAATACATGATTCTAAATAGTAAAAATTCTTTTATTATCACAAGCATATTGCGGTACCAATCATATTATACTTCGTATTTGTTATGACTTTAGCATTTACTCGTAAGATTTTTTCAGGGCACTGCTACTATTAAAATGTAAATGTAAAGTTAGTTAGGAACTGAAGACAATTCAAGTTGATTGTAATTATCATGGAGGGTAAAGTTTGATCATCAATTAGTTCATAACAAACATTTATATATGTATGTTCTTTCAAATAGAAACCTATAACACTAACTTTGGTAACTAAAATACACAATGTTAATGAGCATAAGATTAGTGGAATTGAGTTAGAAATTAAGTTAATAGTTGCAATGTCATCTTAGAATTATTATTGTAGACTAATGTAAAATACTACTTCATACTTCGTATTTGATTGGATATGAGAAAAAAATCTTATGTTCTTATCAAATCCAAAAGTAAGGGCATATTTGAAGAAAGATAAGCTACGCACAAACATCTATTAATTTAATATGTTGACATTGTTTGAAGAAGATACGTTCATATGTGTATAGTGAGAGCAAAGTAGTGAATACACAGGACAAACTTTTCACTCACATTCAACTACCTTTTAGATTTAATTTAAATCTGAAATTTTGTGTTCATGATGTAGACTTCAATTCATAGAGGACATGTTCATAAATTTGTATAAAAAAAAATCCCTCACGGAAACACCTCAAACAATTTCACCCAAAAAATATTAGTTTAGAGTCGAAAAATCAACCTACTCATACCTTTTAGAAAAACTAAACCTGGGCCTAATTTTTTAAATTTTTTGGGCCCTAGGCCCCTTGCCTCCCTCGGGACACCACTGTTGATAGTTATATCATTGTGATGGCGAAACCAATTTGACCTCCCATATGCAGCACACTTAGTTCAAAAGTATAAGCATTTTGTTCAGCCCAAAACAATATGTAGTACTTCTTACTACCTCTGTCCCACTAATATTAGGATGGAAGGGGTTGACACGATTATTAGGTAAAATGAGTTTGTGTGATTGATATTGATTGATAAAGTAAGAATAAAGTAACAATGATTTATAGCTGCACAAACTTTACCAAATTTGGTATGTGACAATTTTAGTGTGATTTTCCGAAAAGATAAAATGAGACAATATTAACGGGACGAACGGAGTATACTTTTAATAAAACTACATACTACTTACATTTTTCATAAATCGAAGGATCAAAAGTACAATAATATGATAGTATTATGTTTAATAATGACACATGCTTTTTATTAGGCTTAATAAAAGCAAGCTACGTTCTAGGATAATTTCTACACCAACAAAATTCAAAGTTGACCTTTTGTGAGCCATGTGTTCTAGGCAAACAAAAGAGGGTAACCTTTGTGAAGACAGGACAACAACCCAAGACTGAGCGGCTGGAGTTGATTCATTCAGATGTCTATGGACCTACAAAGGTCTCTTCAATTGGAGGTTCCCGCTACTATGTTACATTCATTGATGACTCTACACGGAAGGTATGGGTTTATTTTCTTAAAAATAAATCCGATGTCTTTAACACTTTTAAGAAGTTCAAAGCTGCAGTTGAGAATGAAACAAATCTCAAAATTAAGTGTTTAAAGAGTGATAATGGAGGTGAGTATAGTAGCACAGAGTTTGTAGAGTATTGTGCTGAACAGGGGATCAGAATGCTGAAGACGGTTCCAGAAACACCACAGCAAAATGGTGTTGCAGAGAGGATGAACAGAACATTGAATGAAAGGGCCAGAAGCATGAGATTGCATGCAGGACTTCCCAAGATGTTCTGGGCCGATGCAGTGAACACAGCAGCATACTTGATCAACAGAGGACCCTCATCTCCCATTGGTTTCAAAATTGCAGAAGAGGAATGGAAAGGTCGTGAGGTATCTCTTAATCACTTGAAAGTTTTTGGTTGTATTTCTTATGTCAAAGTCAGAGATGCAGATAGTGACAAGCTTGAGGCAAAGGCAAAGAAGTGTATCTTTATTGGGTACGGGTCGGATGACATGGGCTACAGGTTCTGGGACAACCAAAGCAAGAAGGTTATCAGAAGTAGAGATGTCACCTTCAACGAGAATGCTCTTTATAAAGATGGTCTTGCAGCAGGAACAAGCAAAGGCAAGCAACCGGAAAACAAACAGCAAGTGGTGTTTGAAGGGATGACTGAAGATGACATAGCACAACCAGTCGGTTGTGATGAGACGGCTGGAGGCTCAGGGAGCAGTGGGAGCTCAGGAGATACAGGAATGTCTGAAGATAGTGGGAGTGATGAAGACAGTGGGAGTTCAGAGGCAGCTACTCCACACATCAGACAGTCCACCAGAATCAGGAGACCTCCTAACAGGTATTCTCCTTCAGCAAATTATCTATTGCTGACCGAGAATGGAGAGCCAGAATCTTACTCAGAGGCGTTGGCTGTAAGAGATTCCATACAGTGGAAGAAGGCCATGAAAGATGAGTTAGATTCACTTGACAAGAACCAAACTTGGTCCTTAGTCAAGTTACCACCGGGAAAGAAAGCATTGGAGAATAAGTGGGTTTTCAGAATTAAAGATGAAGCAGATGGAAGCAAAAGATACAAGGCCAGGCTAGTTGTCAAGGGGTTCCAACAGAAAAAGGGGGTTGACTACAATGAAATCTTCTCCCCGGTTGTGAAGATGACCACTATCAGGTTGATTCTTGGTATCGTTGCAGCTGAAAATTTACACTTGGAGCAGCTGGATGTGAAGACTGCTTTTCTTCATGGCAACCTTGAAGAAGACATTTACATGGCTCAACCGATAGGTTTCTCAGTGAGTGGTAAGGAAAAGTTGGTGTGCAAACTCAAGAAAAGTCTATACGGACTGAAGCAAGCTCCCAGACAGTGGTACTTGAAGTTTGACAGTTTCATGCAGCGGAATGGGTACACTAGATGCAAGATGGACCATTGCTGTTACTTGAAGAAATTCAAGTCATCATACATTATTCTTCTTTTGTATGTCGATGACATGTTGGTGGCTGGATCAAACATGCAGGAGATCAACGAGCTCAAGAAGAAGTTGTCCGAAGAATTTGAGATGAAGGATTTAGGGGAGGCGAGACAGATTCTTGGGATGAGCATAGTCAGAGACAAGGTGGAAGGTACTTTAAAGCTTTCACAGCAGAAGTACATTCAGAAAGTCCTTGAGAAGTTCAGAATGACGGATGCCAAGCCAAGGAGTACACCTTTAGGGAGTCAGCTGAAACTCTCCAAGCAGCAGTCTCCAAAGACCAATGAAGACAAAGATGAGATGGCTAAAGTCCCTTATGCATCAGCCGTTGGCAGCTTGATGTACGCAATGGTGTCAACAAGGCCGGACATTGCTCATGCAGTGGGAGTTGTTAGCAGGTTCATGTCGAATCCAGGGAAGGAACATTGGGAAGGAGTCAAGTGGCTGCTACGCTACTTGAAAGGCACTTCTGGAACTGCTCTTTGTTTCAGGAGGAATGGAGTAATTCTAGAAGGATTTGCTGATGCTGATTTGGGGGGCTGTTGTGATTCCGGGAAGAGCACTACCGGTTACATATTCACAATTGGAGGTACGGCGATCAGTTGGATGTCTAGACTTCAAAAGAGTGTGGCTCTTTCGACCACAGAAGCAGAGTATATGGCCATTGCTGAAGCGGCCAAAGAGTTGATCTGGTTGAAGAACTTTCTTTCGGAGTTGGGCATGGAACAGGGGGATTGCGGACTGCACTGTGACAACCAGAGTGCCATTCACCTCGTGAAGAATCCAGTGTTTCACAGCAGAACGAAACACATCAAGATGCGATACCATTTTATCCGAGAGTTGATTGAAGACGGTATCATAAACTTGAAGAAGATCCTTGGTACGAAGAATCCAGCAGACATGCTTACCAAGGTGGTGACAACGGAGAAGTTGAAGCTATGCATGGCTTCAACTGGCCTTCCAGATACTTGATGGGAAGGTGTGAACGAGAGATAGAGATCAGGGGTGTTGCAGAGGATACATGTTCTTGGATGGCAGATGACTGTTGAACAAGCCTCCAAGTGGGAGATTGTTGAAGATGGAGCCTTGTTTGGAATGCAGGAGTATATACCCGATCGGGTATGTTGGGTTACCCGATCGGGTATGAGGTGTTTGATGGCTCGAGTATTTCCCTGGTTTCTACACTCGATCGAGTATTGATCATTACTCGGTCGAGTATGCATGTAAGGGGTACTCGGGTTATATTCTGGAGTTTATACTCGATCGAGTATGGAGGTATACTCGGTCGAGTATGTGTAAAAACACTACTCGGGCAGAATTCTGGAATCTATACTCGGTCGAGTATGTATGTATACTCGATCGAGTATACGGGAAAAATTAATGACGGGATTAATTTTTGGGCCTGCGGCCTTAACCCTTATTTAGGCTTTCTTAAACCTATTTAAACATCCCTAATGTATCTGTAAACATACAAGACGCTGGAATAATAATACATCTCTCTCTCGTTCGCCGTGGACTAGCGTAATCACACCGATTGCGTGAACCACGTAAATTCTTGTGTTCTTGCTTTAAATTTATCGTTTATCTTAGCCTAATCGTGATAATTAACACGGACTGAAGGAGCGGTCAATTTCGCTGATTCGGGTGCTCTTCGGTCATCCAAGGGAAGGTACGAGATTCGACTGAAAGCAGAGGGTTCAGGCAAGTAAGCCAGTTCTTTTGCGTTGCAGACGCCCCTGTTTGGAAAAGGCAGAGGTCTGCGAGGGGAGGGCCGGAAGAAGATGCGGCAGATCCGTAGGCGAGGGGCTGGTGCGATGGGAGATCTCAATGGGCTCAGAGACGACTACGGACCAATGGCGGCCAAGGTTGCGAGGTTCGATATTCCTATGCTTGGAATGACTCTTCTGGCTTTGATGGTTTTTGAGGCGAAAATTACACCAGCGGTGTTCAATCCGGGTGGAATATTGGCAATGAGGAGTCTGGCAGAAGGGGCTCTGGGGTCCAATTGGATGATGAAGGTCTTGGTGCGAGTGATCCGGCTGACTCAGATGGTGGAGGAAGAAGACGGTATGCAAATGATTCGTCCCTCTCCGAAACCGCCACCTCAGAGGAGTTTCAAGACTAGGGTTTGGATGCTTCGTTTAGTTAAATTTGCTGTTTTTATTTGTTATTTTATCGTTCAACACGTCCGTATTAATTTTTGCTTTGTGAACACTAGCGGTAGTTTCCGTAGTTGCTTTTTCAGTTTAGGTCTGTGGGTGGAAGCAATAAGGCTTGTTTTGGCCGTTAAAAGCTTCAAAACTCTCACATGGTTCGCGAATAGTCTCGCTCATTGCGGGGTGGTCTATTCTATGTCTAGCTAGAGAGTGAGAGGGCCTTTTGGCTATGCGGAGCATCAGAAGGAGGTTTGGCGATGTTTGGTTGGATGTACTTTGAGAATTTGGTTGCTATAATCTAATTAGTTTCCTTTCAAAAAAAAACAAAAAAAATAATTTAAGTTAAAGAAAAAATGAAATATCTCAATAATAAATAAAATCAAAACTTATTGAATAATTTTAAAAAAAAGTATGTTTGATTATGTTTAGAAGAAGCATCCTACTATCCCCTCTGCATCCAATTCTTCACTTAAAATTATAATATTAATACATTTTCATTAAAAATGGACAAAACCTCCAAATAAAAGTTGAGACAAGTTTTATTGAAAACTTTTTATATATTCAATTATGAAAGTAGGTTGTTCAACTCATATATTCAATAAAATGAATATATTTTATTGGAGGTTTTGATTGAAGTAGGTTGTTGAACATAAGAAAAATTAGAAAATAATCCGTGTTTTCTTCTCTAAACATAGGATTTATGTAGTAGAATAAACCGTGTGTTCTTCTCTAAACATAGGATTTATGTAATCCTAATAAAAGAATTAAATGATATAAAATTCACTGAATTTTGTTATGTTTAACTTCTATTGAGATAATTTTCTCAAATTTTATCTAGAATTGCATCTTGGCACACACGTACTAGAAATTGATCTTCTTTTTAAACCCAGAAGGCAAACCACCAAAATCATACATTTACTATGTTTCATTAAAAAAAAAGATAGAGATAGTGAGGGATAGGCCAAACCACCACCTGAGAAGGTATTCCTTCCCAAATTGATCTTCTATTTATACATACTTGTATATTTATAACTTAAACTAGTATAGTCAAACAATATTAATAAAGTGATTTGCTAATTATGAAATACTTCCTCCGTTCTTAAATAAGTGTAACAGTCAACACTTCACACTTGTCGAGACACTACTTTGACCATTAATATATATATTTCTCTATTAGAAATTTTTTTAAAAAAACTAGTTTTTGAAAATTTACAATGAGACAAATTTAATAATATATTTTTCAAAAATATATATTAATACATCAATAAATAAAATGTAGTCAAAGTAGAACATGTGAATAGTGTAAAATTTCACATGTTGCACTTATTTAATAACAGAGGTAGCATGTTACTAAATTCTAATGTAAGTTGTGGCCGCTCAAAAAAAAATCTAGACACATGACCAAGTGACCAAGTCTAGGCTCCCAAGATGAATTTCTTGATCCGCCCGGTCAATGAGATATATTCCCAGTAATCCCATTATCATGGTTATTACTAACTCTGTCCCCTTAAATTTGGAACAAAGGGATGTGATGTGATTTTTAAGAAAAAACAAAATTGTGTAGTTGATATTAAATTGATAAAGTGTAAATAAAGTATTATTTTCATTAGCTTTGACCAAAGTGATCCGTGACCATTTTAATTCCACAATGACCGGTGACCATAGTTGACTTAGCTTTCGTATACAGAAATACAGAGTACATACAGTAAAAAGAAAGCCAAGATTGAAGAGAGCAGAGAAAGAAACCTTAATTTGGGGAGGACTGAAATGAGCGGCGGCGGCGGCGGTTGAGGAGGACAAGAGTTGTTGGGAGGAGAGGGCTTCGATAGTCCTGGACGCCGTCTGCAGGCAGCGGAGGAAAGGGGAGACGATGACGCGGTGGATCGGGGCTCCGACCTCTTCCCGGATCTTCTTCGCCGTATCTGAGTAAAGGTTTTTGTACTCGGCGCCGTCGTACAGCGGTGGGTTCCAGGGACGGTCGGCAGTCTCAGGCCACTTCGTGTTAAAGTTATCAAGGCGCGGCCCGTGCCTCATTACGATGACGTTTTGGTACAACTGCTTTTCATTCCGGCCGCCCATTTCTTCTCCTGCCTGGTCGGTCTATCACAAGTGTGGGCGGACCTGTTGATGTTAGAATTCTATGTGTATGAATTTATACCAAGAAACTTCCACTTGCACGTACTTTATCTATGATGATGACCTATTGGCATATGTATTAAAAACATAATCCAATTTTAAAACGCCCAAGTAAAGATACTTACTTATGGTAACACTTTTACTTTAACATTTATCAATATCCAATTTTGACCATTACTGAATTCAAATAATCATTGGTAAAAAAAAAGTAAAATTTTCAAAATAGGAGAAATTAAAACACATGTATGTGTTGGAATCTCAAAATAGGATTATTATATTTTTATTTTTTAAATTAGAAAATAGAAAATAGTCGTAGCTAGCAAAAACTGCCAAATTGGTTGTCAAAGTAAACAAAAAAATCATTAAAGCACTCCAATACCCAATTAAACGATTACCCAATTGTTTTCTCCTTGAATGGTTATCAAGCCCTCTTTTCCGTAAGATGCACTCCAACTTTAGCTTGGTAGAGTGGTCTTTGTTCCAATACTAGTACTATTTGAGGATTCAAAGAATATAATTGCAACCTCATTCTCTTTTCTACTAGTATTTTTTATTGGAAATGATAATGATTAATTGCTGGAGTATACCTAAAGCATTGAAAAGAAAAAGAAAATGACTAGATTCTTTTTAAAATTAACGGAAGACATCCAAACCATACTTATGGTAAAAAAGCAAAGGAAGACTTCATTTGCTATAGTATTGTGCTATTGAAAGAATTTGGTCCCAAATGAGCTGTAGGTGATGCATTGTTTGGAAAGACTTTGAAGTGTTACAACATTAGTGTCAAGTCCTTAGCTAGATGAGCAGTTTATTATGGAAGTATATTGTTTCCTCTAGAGCAAATTTGATTAACTGTTTTATTGCTTTCTCTTATTAGACTGTCTACCTGCTTAATTTCCTTCATTAAGCTGTTCTACAGCTTTATGCATTTCCATCATTAGATGAGTTTGTTTTAAGAGTTGATTTTATGTATCCATTTTTTCCTTACTGGTGTTTGTAACCCTTACTTCAAGTAGGGACTCTTGCTTTGCAATGGTGCCAGTAGAGTCTGAAGGACTTTAAAAAAAATTAAACCTATAGCTTCAATTAAGTGGTATAAAACTCTCAAACTCTATGTCATATTACACTTGTCCAGCTTTTTTTTGGAAAGCAGTAAATGTAAGGGAATGAAGAAACAGAATAAAATCAGAAGGGAACAAAATATAGAAAAAATAAGAGATACGCTCGATCAACTCAATTAATGTATTTTATGGAAAAAAAGGATGACACCCCATCCCTGAGGGTCCCCCAACACCGACCTGACGGCACGATGGGAGGATGTAAATTGGACTATAATCAAAATCTGATAGATAGAGAGTGGCCGGGGCTCTGTCCCCGCACTGGTGCAAAAACAATAATTTGCAGCACGTTATCCGTGGCGGTTTTATAATCACTGCCACATATTTTAAAAAAATCATCAACGCGCGGCGGTTTATATGTAATAACCGATGCATGTTTTTTTGTTTTTAATAATTTTTGAAAAGAATGCGGTGGTGGTTTCAAATGAACAGACACACACATAATTTTGATTTTTTTTTAAATTATCCGACACGCGCGGCGTTTAACATTAAACAACCGCCGCAGTTTGTGTAATTTATTTTTCCGTATTCACGCACTGCGGTTCGTATCCAAACAACCGCCACATGGTATTACTTTGATTTTTTTTTAAAATTATCCGACACGCGCGGCGTTTAACATTAAACAACCGCCGCAGTTTGTGTAATTTATTTTTCCGTATTCACGCACTGCAGTTCGTATCCAAACAACCGCCACATGGTATTACTTTGTTTTTTATGCAGATTACTCAATCTTCAATTTTACTAACCCTACCCTTCAGCGATTACCGTACCCGCAGAGCCACTCCTAAAATCTCAAATCGGTGCAGCAAGTACTCGAGCGAGGCGGAGGCGTTGCAGTCATCTCGGCGGAGGCGCTGCACTCATATCGCGGACGGCATCAGGCTGCGACGGAGCCCCCGAGCGGCACGGACAGCCGCGACCTCCCTGCTGCTCGTCCTCTCAGCTTCATTCTTCGTTAGCTCCACCTCCCTGCTCGGCCGGCAGCGGTAGACCTTGTTGGAAAAATGTGTGAAAAATTGCATTAAATGGCTATTTTGGGGCAATTTTTTGAGTGGGGTCCACTTCCGATTTAGGTTGGGTCAAAGTGGTTTCGGATTGTCCTTGTTAAGGGCTACAATTCGATAAATGGTACGCTCAAAACGGATAACGGGTGAATGAGAAATCCCACACCGGAAAACCCAAGGGATTTGCTACCCTTTATAGAGGGACTCCCCCCTTATGAAGTTAAGATTCTTAAGGGTAAAGGCTCTCTCCACGCGCGCAGGGGGGTGCAAATCAAATCCCGAATTCGGAGAAGAAAAACCGCGACTTGCGTGCGCGGGCGACCTGCGGACACGAATGTCGTATAATTAATTTTTGTTTTCTTCCCAAAACGTTTAATTTTTTCCCAGCGGCAGAAGTACTCGGACAGAAGTATTCTGATGGCCGCCCATCAGAGTTGGGGGTACTCTGATGACCGCGGATCAGAGTTGGGGTCTTCTGATTGGCCTCCGATCAGAACCCCTCCCGGGGTGTTCTGATGGAGGTCTTCTGTCGCACTTCTGAAACGTTACAACAACTAATGCCCAACGTTCTTATCTTTTAATGCAGCGTTAAATGGACAGTTCATGAACGATTCAATGCCCAACGGACTGGTCATTGATGTCCAACGTTCAGGTCCATTAATTCACCATTTACACAAACGTGACATTTTTCTTTTTCAAATAACCAATAATTTTGACATTCTCATATTATACAAGTGGCAGTTTACTGAATAAATACAATTCAAATCTAAAAAATCCAAAATAATAAAAATCCAAAAAATTTAAAGAAAAGAACAGAGGACCAACAATTTGAGGAGCATTAGAAGAAGGAGAAGGAGAAGGAGAAGGAGAAGGATACCTGTGGTCGATGGTGGAGCTACTGTCAAGGAGAAGGAGAAGGATACATGTGGTCGATGGTGGAGCTACTGTCAAGGGAGTTCTGGAGTTGTTGCTGCTACGATGAATTCTATCGTAGATTGCAGAAGAAGCCAACGATGTGCTGCGGCCTGCGGATGTGTGTGGCCAGTGACGAATTGCAGAAGGGGGCGAGAGATTGGAGTTTTAATTGCAAGAGGGCAAAAGTGTAATCTGGAGTCCCATTTACGCAATTTAAAACTTGAAGTCCTATTTTGGAGTTTTAACCATGTTTTAGTCCCATTTAGTATAATTTCTGCAATTGTTTACATTAATATAACTACGATAAATATTAAAGATAGAATCAAATAAAAGCAAGCCATATGCACATATAGTAGAGTAATTAATTACGGAGTAAATGGATAGAACAATTTAAAATACAACTCCGCACATTAAAAGGTTCATTACACATATGAAAATGAAATGTTTGAAACTAAAGAAGAAGAGTCTCATCCGTAAGAATAGGATAGAATGATAGATTATTCAGAAGTGCAAATGATGATTCGTCACTTTAATTTCCACGCATTGTAATGCGAGACTGACCCTGTAACGTGAAATTGAAAACAGGTCTCCTTAAGTGTACATATCCACAATAATCCGCTCGTGCACGCCCACCTTCTATGAATGTAGACGACAAAGCCGTTATTCCTTCAGCTGATACATAGCAACATGCGTATCAGAAAACATCAAAAATAAAACTAAAATTTAACAAATTATTATGTTTTCCGCATAAGCTCATCATTTCATTATTTTTCTTGAAAATGAATTCGTACACAAAGAATTGACAGAGCTCCTAATGATCATGTGATTAGTGGATATAACTCACTTTTATATTACTATATATACGTAGTATATTTGGTATAAATGTGACATGTTGCTAATATATTTTTTACTCCCTCCGTTTCTAAAAGAAAGTCACGGTTTGACTCCACGATTATTAAGGAAATAAATTGACTTTACTGTAGAAAACACTGTTTAGACACTGTTTGGCACTGTTTGGACACTGTTTGGCACTGTTTGACACTGTTTGGATGTAGATTTCTTTGCCAAATAAGGAAATAAGGGAAGTGTGACTTTTATTTTGGCACATCCAAAAAAGGAAAGTGCGAGGTTCTTTTAGAAACGGAGGGAGTATTATTTTATGTACTCGGTCCAAGTCGACATCTCTTCCCTCTTCCTAACTAGATAAAAATAATGGATTGGGAAATAAAAACAAGTACTCCCTATTAGTATGTAACTGCCGAATGTGATTACTCAAATTAAAACGTAGATAATGTGAAAAAAATGGGGAATTTTATTATGGCGAGAATGGTTGATCTTCTAACTTTACATACTTATCGATAATGTAATGTAATGAAGATATTCATTAATGCTGAAGAATTTTCCATTAAAATATAATGTACTTTGTTAGTACAAAATTCTATGTGGGTGGGAGCTTTTCCTACGTCAACTTGCCATAAGTAATGGTACATTTTGGTGATCTCAATTTATAATTAACCTACGTCAACTTTTTAAATATAAAACATTATTTGCAAATATAAATAGGAGTGATTCAAGGTATATCAAACATTTCCACTCGTACCGCCGTAGCGTATAACGTACCATAATATTCATTGACAAAACTATCATAATGAAATTGTTTAGTGTCAATCAATCTTCTCATTTTTCCCATTTAAACCACTTTTTTAATCAATGGAGAATAAATATTTACCATGTGTGACCAGCAACAAGTTCTCACGAGGATATTTATCAGCAAGTGCACGAACAACGTCATTATACCTATCCCATGCAGCTTCTTGTGTCTCTTCCCACTCGGGTAGCTATTGAAATATTATCTCCAAGAAAAATCTTTAATTAGTAAATAATTAAGTTTGCTCTATAGAAACATAAAACTCGTAAATAATACGAGTGACAACACACACACAGATCA